GAGAGAGAGAGAGAGAGAGAGAGAGAGAGAGAGAGAGAGAGAGACAGAGAGAGACAGAGAGAGAGGGAGGGAGGGAGAGGGAGAGGGAGAGAATATATGCACATATGCAAACGGGAAATGGAATAAAATGTGTTAACAATCGGTGAATCTGGGCAAAGGGTATTTGTATATTCTTTGTACTATTTTATGTTTGTAACTTTTTGCACATTTGAAATTATTTTCAAATAAAAATTAAAAAAAATAAAACAAAACCCTTGTCCTACCTACTTAACAGTGGTTGTCCCTGGAGAGAACTACTGTTACTTTTGCCTTTTTCTTTATACATTTAGTATTGTCTAAAAAAATTTAAACAATAAGCGTGCATTAATTTTGAAATAAAAAAATGAAAAGAAAAGAGTAACCTAGTCTGTACATATCACAACCCCTTTATACATTAGAGTTAAAACAATGGATGACATGTACCACTTTCTATTAGCTTGCTACCATAAACAGAGGGCTTCATGCTGCAACTTAATCAGATCTCTGAAATTTTTTTAATTCAGTTAATTCCCGTAAGTATTTTTCAACTGGCTTTTAGTCTGATTGGAATCCTTTTTAAAGAGTATATAAGTCACAAAAGAATATGAAACATAAAATTAGTATAGGTATCTTTCAGATGTTAAGAATGCTGGGAACTTTTAACCCGAAGCCATTCCTACATCATCACTCCACTTTGGTGACATTTCAACCAGGTCAGGGCTGCCTTCTCCTTAATTCCTCCCAAATATCTCTAAGAAATAGATCTGCTTCACTTTGGCAATAGGGTTAGTTTCTGTTTTAGGAGAGAAAGAATTCAAGTAGTTCTTGCTTTATTTTCCATAATAGGCTAAATGTGCCAGAACTCTAGTTTAAAAATTTTATTAAAACAGCAAAATCTTTTTCTTAAACAAAAATTTTATGTGAACAGAGTTTTATCAAATGACCTTTTCTCATTTAACTCATGACTTTTCATTTAACTCAGTGGAATGAATTATGTTAATAATACTGAACCACTAAAGAAACCTTAGGTGAACTCTCAGCATATACATCAAGTAACAGCAGAGCTACTTTGGTTGGGGGTCCCTCCTGCTCACACCCCTGCAGCAGACCCAGAAAAAGCATAAAAACCAACGCTAGAGAAGAGAGTATGAAGGATCCCACCATCCTGGTCTGCCAGACACCATGACAAAACTGAAGAATCAACCATCCAGCATCTTTGCTATTCTGACAGATTATTTTTGAGATATAATTAAAACCAAGCAAAGTATCAGGAAATGAAACAATTACCTGCTTTTCCTCAGGAGGGAGCTTACTCCATTCATTGCCTAACATTCTAGTGATTTCTGGAAACGGGACTTCTGGTCTCTTTGCTCGAAGCTGTTCTCGACGTTCATTCATGAAGCGGACATACCCTGTAAGGGGGGATTTTGGTGCATTGCTGTCTCGAAGAGGTTTCTTCCTCTTTCTTCCTTTGGACCAACCTCCTCGTTTACTTCTTTGCTACAAAACAAGAGAAAATAAAAACCAAAACCAAATTACAATAACAACAAAAATGTCCCCAAATAACACAACAATAAATACTAACAAACATAACAGGGTAAGAATTGCATTTTCCTGCCATTAAGGCCCTGGGTATTCAAAGTTCTCTAAATTTGTCTTAAGTACAAATAGTGTAATGCAGTTTTCAGGAGGGGTCTCCAGATGGTTCACCAGCAGAGCCTTTTATATGCACACTACAAAGTGTTGCACTAGGGAGAGATTTTAGTGTTAATCCCAAGAGATGAGAATAAGGAGTGTCACCATCACTCAAGCTCTGGCCTTCATATGTGCTTAACACGTCCTGACTCTCAACAGGAGAAAATCCTAAATGAGAAACGCAGCACAGACAGCACTGTGCAGGAGAAGCAGACATTGTCACAGTAGATCCGAACATGATGTCACATGCATTGGGCAAACGAAGAAATAAGTTGTAGCATAGGGATTAAAAATTGTTTATGAAGGGTGTTTCTCTTTGATACTACTCAAAGACCAGTTTATTGTCCACAGCACACAGCATATGCTGTATAGATTTTTAAATTAATACCTAAGTTTTAGAAAAATTTCAGTAAGTATAATATATCCAAAATGAAGACTAGTTTTTTGGCATGATGATTTGTTCCTTGTTTATTTTATAAGTTCAGAGATCTTTATATGTAATAGTTAAATCAAAAGATTAAATCATCTCTAAAAAAGTTTTAAAAAAGGACTGAAGCACCACTGATACTTTAACACAGCCCTTTCCCTTGTCATTTTTTTTAATTTTAATTTTTTAAATTGGGGAATTGGGGGATGGGAATAGCGCTGGGGAATTGGGGGAAGGGGAACAGACAAGTTGCTGTCCTTTTGTTCTTCAGTCTAGTTGGGGAGGACGTTGCTTCACTGGCCCAAGTTGGCACCATCATTGCGCTCTTCC